GTCGTAGTAGTAGTCGTGGTAGTGGTGGTAGTAGTAGCAGTAGTAGTAGTAGTAGTAGTAGTAGTAGCAGCAGCAGTGGTGGTAGTGGTAGTGGTGGTAGTAGCAACAGTAGCAGCAGCAACAGTAGCGGTAGCAGGAGCTGGAGCAGGAGCAGTAGCGGTAGCACTAGTAGTAGCAGTACGAGGAGTAAAAGCAGCAGGAGTAGCAAGAACAGCAGTAGTAGCAGCAGAAACAGTCTTCGTCGTCCCCCCTCCTCGCCGTCGCCGGGCGTAGTGGTTGCGGTTGTGGAAATGGTAGTCGTAGTTGTAAGTGGGAGTAGCAATTGTAGTAGTGTGGTTGTAGCAAGATTCGTAGTGGTAGGAGCAGTTGTCGCGGGCATGATACCAGCTTGGCAGGCAGGCAGGGAGGTAGGAAGTTGGGACACGGTACCCCGCAGGCAGCAGTATTGGATCCAGTACCGTGGCAACGATGATGACAGTTGTAACCGCATCTCTCGAAAACAATGCTCAAAGTAAAGCAACGCTAGCCAGAAGAAGAAGGTTGAGAGGTAGAACCTCACCCTCATCTCCCACAGTTGTCCTGAACCCCCAAGGCTCAAAGCCATGTCTCGTGCCAAGCCGCCCTGTTCCGCAGGTGCGACAGGCCGCTCCTTAGCTGCAGTAAGCAGAGGACTCCTTCAAAAACGGCCTCAGGCTTTGGTAGCTGGTCTGGCTAACGACGGTTTCAATGGGGTCGTGGTCCATGATCAACCCCAGACCTGGGCAGGTCCCCGTGAATGTTCCAGGTTGAATGTGAGGAATTTGCATACTGTGGTACAGGTCAGAACAACTCGAGTGTAGTCTAGCCACGCTCTGCTCAGAGAGTCTGTTTTGCCAGGAACGCGTGCTTGCAGGCAGTGTCTGCGGCTCTGCACTGACTTTTGAAGGAAAAAGCATCGACAACACGCTGAATCATATGTCCAGGGTGCAGAGCTCTCTGAGCTTCCAAGAAGTCGTACCGTGATTCCAGCGACAGTGCACTGCTCTCCAGTCCTTGCTTGCAGTGCTCTTCTGGGACGGTGGTTTAAAGTGAGGCCCAATGCTGCAGAGCCACGCTCAAGGAGCTGATCAAGCTCCTTTGACTTGAGGGCTGCAGATACACCACCACTCGAGCACCACGCTCCCTCTCCCTCTCTCATTGTGGGAGCTCCTCCGGCGCTGCGAGGAGGTCGGCACCGGAATCCAGCTTCTGCAGGGATGCAGGTGGATCCATTGGAGCCCCTCACCGTTAGCAAAACAGTAGATGCCGCCAGTGACACTGGCTGTGCCTCGGCGAGAGGCTCCGAGCACTGCAGAATCTCCAGCCTGGCTTGATTTCTGGGGGTTCTTGCCGCATGGGCCTTGAGAGTCTGGATTGAGGAAGCAACGCAGCAAGGACAGTGCCTGGTGGAAAGCTGATCTGCGAAGGCACCGAGGCGGCTGTGCTCCTCCAAAGTTGCCTGAATGGGCTTCATGGCCTCTGGGGTCTTATGGCTGAGTATGGTTTACACTTGAGCGGCCTGGAGCCTGCCAGCAGGGGGTGGCGAGAGGCTATACCACTTCGAGTCAGGTTTAATACTCCAAGCAGCTTGCCCATATCCTTGCGAGTTTAGTATATTGCCAGGGGCCATGAAGACGGTTCAACAGCAGAACTCTTCCGAACTTGTGTTGAACAGTCTGTCCCGAGTTTCAACAAATCGGCCCAGGCCACGGAACCGATTAACCGGACAGTCAAAGGTTTTCGAGGACATTTGGCCGAGGAGTGACCCTTGCGATGAAAGTGATGAAGCGAACTCTTTCAGCTTCCGTGCCGCTAAGTCAAGAAGTAGATGATCTCAGTGGATCCGACTGTCTGAGGATGATCATGGACTTCTGAAACCGGATGTGTGGGTCAGAACCCCAGACCACACGGACGCAGACAAGGCCCCTATCGCCTGGCAGCGCCGGTGAAGCCACGAAGAGCTGCGCTCGAACTCTCGGTGCTCGAGCTGACAGCCGGCTGGAGAAAATGACGCAAAAGCCCCAAACGGGCCAAAAGATGCCAAAAGCAAGAGCCCCAGAGCCCCAGAGCCCCAGCGAATCGCCTGCAGCTCCTCGAGGCCCCGCATCAGTGCCGCAACGGCCGCCGCCGCTTCGGCGCTGCCCGTGCCCAGTTGGCGGAGCCAGCTGAGGCCTCGATTCGGTGCTCTGCGGTGCTGTTGAAAAGGGGGGGGAGATTGTCCTCGTCCTTGTCTGAGCCGGCAGCCCGAGTTCTAATCATCACGAGGTCTTCTACTACGTTTATGTAACGGTTGAACTTACCCATGCTCCCATGTCGGGGCTCTTGCGGCATCCCTGACAACGTGTTGCTTGAACTTCGCGGTGGAGGGCTGTGCGGGTATTGTTAGAATGCGGGCTTGTTTGTAAAAGAAGTGCAGGGAGAAATGAACTATACCCATGCCCCATAAGCTGTGAGAGCAGTAGCGGAAATTGCAGCGGGGGAGGAAGATGAAGAAGTACAAAGTGTTCGGAATCCATGTAGCTGCATCATAGGCCTCTCCCACCATCAAGTCCTTAACCGTAGCCTTAACCCTAACGTGAAACCTGTCATAGCCGAGACTGTATGCGGCTGTGTGTAGAAGGAAGCAGGCAGGGGTCGGGTCGATGGGCTTGTCGCAGGTCAAACTGCTATGCGCGTCTCTGACAACGCAAGATTAGGCTCAAGTGTTTTAGCCTGTACCCTAGTCTGTAGGTTTACAGGCTCAGGGCTCGCCAATGCACGCCAAGAAACGGCGACTCGACAGTGTTTTGGCGCTGGTGCCTTAGACATGTTGAGCCTGGAGCCCCAGCATCAGCTTAACAGAACGTCGCCACGCTCGAAAAACCAGTCTGCCGTTGCCGAAATCCCAAGTAGACGAGGATCGCTGCTTTCGAAGTGCCTGTGCAATGCCATGAAAGGCTCAAGCATCCGGCAGAAGACGCAAAGATCACCGAGCCTCCGCCGCTGCATGCCACCGATGTACTGCCTCTCGGGTGTAGGAAACACAAACATTGCAACAGTAAAAAGGAGACTGCCTCGGCGCAGTTGAAGTCGTCCCGGATGGCCGCAGGTGGCAACAGGCCCTTTCCAACAAACTCGCTTCACGTCTTCGGCTCAAATCTTCGAAGGCCTATTCCTATATGATAATCTATCTGGCACACTGACAAGACTACCGAAGCTTTCCAGAGATGAGGGCTCAAGGCATCCACCCTTCTACAAGGAATGCACGGCCCGCATTGTTGTGTCCTCATCGTAGATCGCATCCAGCTCCTCGTGCTTTCCAACAGAATGGCTCTTCGCAGAGTCATGGCATGCAAGCTCCATGTAAAAGCACAGGCAAAGCCCCACGAACACCTACCGACTTACTGCGTACAGCCCGTGGGATCTAGGGCACTTGTTCGCCCAATTTCAGCACAGGTCGGCACCTCCAGCAGCTGCAGCTGCCTCGCCGGCAGCGGCAGCGGCTCCGCCATGGCTTTGGAGCTTGTGTCAAGGCTTCAGATTCGGCACCCTCGGGCTTCTGCCCGGGCGTCGTGTCACGTCTAGCTGTAGCTGTGGGTTTCGTGTCACAGCTGTGCCAGTTTCGTTTTTTTCAAGTAGATGCGGCTGGGCTTGGCGTCCTGTCCTGGTTGATTGGTGTGGGGCTTTGACCTGGGCTCGGGTGTCAAGCTGCTGCCTGCTTTATGGGCTCGGAACATGATTACTCACTGTCACTTGTACAGTGGTTGGTTTCTTGAGTCCACATCTCCGAGGTGAGCCCCGAAAAGCATTGTATCCGACTCACCTGAATTCTTCACCTGCAAGTCCTTGGAGAAGTTTTCACATGGACACGAAGTGCAATGACCAAGTTGTCGCACCAACTCTTGACGAACCTCACCCGATGGGATGCAACAGAGTGCTGTGACCTGAAAGCTTCCACTGCAGAGGCGCACAACCTAGATTGTTCTAGAACCATGAACTTGCATCAACGTGTACCTGGAGTTTCCAACCCTGCGTGGCGAACTGCGAAGCGCAAGCCGAACTCAGCACTAGATTGGCATCTTGGGTAAAGGATTAATCCGATCCTTTGATAACACAAGGCCTTAGGAGGGCAATTCTCAATCCTGCTATGTGCTGGCTCCTGGGACTTCTGAAAATGAAACCCGAGATCCTCCGCATTGCCATGGCAAAACAAGATGACGCCCGCGGCACGCGGAGCCGGAAGCCTGGCAACGAGATCCGGTCGATCCGGTCGCCACAGGCGCTTTCTGAAAGTTCCAGATCTCGGAGATCGGAGAGCTCCTTTGGTCACTCTCGATGGCCAGGAACCGCCAAGGCTCCATCCCAACGGGTTTCGAACTCTGAACCCTGCCCACAACACGCCGGCCATGCCAAACGCAAGGGATGCCCTCGGCAAACCTGCAAGGACAGTTGCAGCATAAGTGCTCAGAAAACCCATCGATAACTGAACCGATTGCGGCAGTGTGCCAAATTCCTGGCTACTCTTGGGAAACTACTTTCAATAGACCTCTGAAAACGATCACTTGCAGAGCTCGTTTTTGCAGGCCCAATCGGAAATCTGAACCCTTACGATACTTGCACAGCCACCGGTGCGCTCTGACTAAAGGCTATCTGCGACCCACCTGAGCAACACGACCGCAACGCAGCAAAGCAAAAAGCAACATGATCGCAAGAACCGACAAGCGGCAGCAGTAGCCGTATGAGCTGCCCGAACAAAACTACGGGAGCCAGTCTCTGCACAGCAAGCACAACAAAGGCAGCAGACGGCCTCTCGTCTTCAGCCCGTTCCGGGGAGACCTGGAGAAGTGCTGAGTCCAAATGCTTTGGCCTGGGGGCTTTAGACCTTTGGCAGTCTGCTGGCTTCCAAAGGCTCAGCCGCTTAATTTACGACACCCCGGTCCGTCGCCGAGCTTCTCACTGGCGCAAGGGGCCGGAGTCTCTCTTTGCTTGACTGACGTCTAGAATCATGCTAGGCCCCTAGGCTACTAAGCCACGCGTCGGACGGTGGAGATCCACATAAACACGGATCCTGGTTGCCGATCTCCTGAAGGGTCCATGAAACCTTCCGACCCTGACCCAATTCGAGAGCCGCACAGCTTCGTTCCACGGTATCCAACACAGATGCCTCGCACTGCGAAGAGCCCAGGAACGCCAAACACGGATCCGGAACCCAGGGCTCCGGCTTCTTGAAAGCGTCCTGCGCGTGGGCCATGGGCGGGGCATCTTCGGTTCGTTTAGTTGTTGGAGATCTTTGCGCTTGAGAGAGCTGTCAACCAGCTCCCAGTTCACAGGCAACTCCTCCCCCCTTTTGGTCCTCGGAAGCTCAGGCGGGCGGCTGCGAACTTGTTTGGACAGACACAGTACAAGTCTCTGCAAAAGCCCGATGAGAATGAAGTGTAGCTGCAGCGGCGCTTGAATCTTGCTCTCTTCACTGAACTGGCATAGATTGGGGAGTCGATTCAAGCGAAAGCTTCAAGCAAGTCCGCGAGGCTCTTACAGTTCCCCCGGTCCTTCCCATAGGTGGGCTGCGGTGCCGGGAATAGAAGCTTGTCAATGAAAGAGGACCTCACACGAGAGGACTTAGACCTCAAGCTTTTGCGCAAGCGGTGCTCCGTCTGTTGATGATCTTTGATGAGCGGCAACCCTTCCCATAGAAGCACTTCAACAGAGAGTGTTATGAGGTTGATCAACTTCCACAGTCATTGCATCTCGATCCCGTAGCAGCTGATGGATAAGGCAACGGACATGCAAAACTGCGCTGGTAGCAGAGACCCTGGCATCTCAGGACGGTCTCTGCATGCCCCAAATTCCTCCTCAGAAGGGGTCGCGAAGGAACCTCATGCATGTGCAGCTGTGACGTCAGGATTTTCTTTGAGAGAGAGAGAGAAATAAAAATAAAAATAAAAATAAAGAGAGAGAGAGAGAGCTTGTGAGACAGGCAGATGGATAGACTAACACATGGATAGACAGACAGAAAGGAAAAGAGATGCAGAGATAGATAGAGAGACAAGCAGACGGAAAGACACACAGATGGACAGACAGACCGACAGACGGACGGACAGACATACAGACCGACAGACAAACAGACCGACTGACCGACCGACAGACAGACAGACAGATAGCCCGAGAGATAGAGAAATAGAGAGGTAGAGTGCTAGAAAGGTTGGGAGACAGGCAGATAGATGGACCCAGAGATAGATAGACAGACAGACCAATAGATAGCGACAGCAAGACTGCAGATAGATACAGCAGAAAGGCAGAGAGATCCTGATACATCCTGCAAAGAAGTTCCTCAACGTTTGACTGGCCACCAGGTCCTGTCTCAGCTCAGCCGGGGCTGCGCAGCCATAGCCCGGGTCCACGGCACAGTGGCTTTTGAGTTGCTTCTGGTTTAGTCTGTCTTTGGACTCTGCTACCCTGGCAGAGGGTGATAAGCGACAAGTTCAAAGCCCTGGGGTGGAGAGGCGACGAGCCGGAGTTAAGCTGGAACTCAACTTAGTCCATGGCTTTGCTCTGGATATTTACATTGCTCTCATCATCGGCTATAGCGGTAATCAGTTCAATGCTTTTCTAATTGCAATGGAGGCATCGGAGAACTGGCCCACGAATTATCCGCTTGGCTGACCGGCCGGCAGTGGAAGCTTCGTCTCGCAGTTGCGGCCAGGATTCTTTAGCGACCCTGAACCAGATGCACATATAAAGCCAACAGTATCGGAGCAGCAACGCGAAGGGAACTAGAAAGTCTGACCAAAGCACGAGAGTTCAGATCGAAGCCTGCAGGCACAAATCGCACAACTCGAGAACTTCCCTTCCTGAACGAACAACCCTCGACCAAACAGATCCAATGACAACCTATCGGGAAGGAAATAAAGAATGGAAAAGGTCGTCGTCGTCGATGTGGTGGACGTAGCAGTAGTAGTAGTAGTAGTAGTAGTAGTAGTAGTAGTAGCAGTAGCAGTAGCAGTAGCAGTAGCAGTAGTGGTAATGGTACTGGTACAGTGTGCCGGGCATTTAAGACAATTATTTGAGCAAGTTTGCCAAAGCAATCTTGAAATCTTGCCCCACTTGCCCCACTTGGGAGTGGGGAGAGCAAGATTGCAAGCAAGCTTGGTCAATCTTGGTCTAAAAAGGTAAACTAGTCGACAAGCAAGTGGGGCAAGATGGGCAAGATGACCAAGATTGTAAGATGACTAAGATTGCTGGCAATCTTGTTGCGCAAGATTGACGAAGATTGCAAAGGTTGCCAAGACGGTTCAGCAAAATAACAGTCCTAAATTCCCGGCACACTGTACTAGGAGTTGTTGCTGTTGTGGTAGTGGTAGTGGTACTGGAACTGGTAGTGGTAGTGATAGTGGTAGTGGTAGCGGCAGTGGTAGAGTAGTCGTAGTAGTAGTAGTAGTAGTAGTAGCAGCAGCATCAGCAGTCCGCCATGGCAACTCTATTCTCGTGGCAGTGTCTTCATAACATCGGAATTGATCCTGAACATTTTGATTGACATTGTGCGACTAATCAGAGCACGAAAACACAGGACGAACTTTATCCGCAAATCACACATGTTTAGAGGAAAGTGAACACCGAAAATCAAGTTGCAATTTAAAATGCAGCCAAGACTTTTTGTCCAGCCTTGTCCCCCGAGATAGGCGCCGGGAAACGTGCACGACAGATCCTGCAAAACAACTCACTCGCGTGGTGCCCTCGTGACGATGGTCGTCTAAGGCAGGGTGCTTCTGAAACCCCGCTGAACCTTTAGTGTGGATTAACGTCTTCACGGTGCTGAAGTGAATGTATCATGTGCCTTCAAGAGCCATGCTCCCGATGCTGTGCCTGTGTCCAGCAAAGCGGCGGTTTCAGACCCGTGCTCGAACTACTCCTTTCTGCACTTTGTGCGAAAGATCCGAGTGGCAGCAACACTAAGAAAGATTTAAAGATTTTTTTTGAAGCATTGACTGCAGTCCTTGAGGAAGGCGGGGCCAGGGCGTGAAGTGACATGATCCCAATGCAGCAACGTGCAGTGAAGGAATGAGTTGTATTGATGCATACACTGTGGCATACACGCAGACTGGTTCATAGGTCCAGGCACGCACAACAATCCATACATGAAGCACCTACTGGCAAACCATCAAAGCAAACACTGAGGCCAGGCTGCAAGTTGCAAGCTTTCTTGGGAAGCACTAGTCTGCGTCCTTCACTTGTTTACGCTCACAATTCAGCCTTGAAGTACTGCAACAGTCAGAACAACGAGCCGTACTACACCCTGGCATCTGCCCCGCTGGCACTCAGGGAGGCCGTACGGCGACGACCGAAGGTCTCAGATTCCATGGCTGAGTTCGGGGAAAGATCTCTTGGCGCCTGCCGTCAAGGAAAGATTTCACTTTGGAGTCCAGGGGACGGTCGGACCTTAAGTCAGGAGGGGTGGAGGCACCTGTGGGGCTTAGGCTGCGCACATACATGAGCGTATGCATGCATGTATACATATAAATATGAACATGTATATGTGTATATATATATATATTACCCCCATGTGACAACGTTTTGGGTGTTTGAAGGAGGAGTTACCGGAGTCAGGATTCAAACGCGCGAGCAACGTGGGGATTCTTAGATTAGTGATGTTGTTGACAGCAAATCCGCACAGCACCGCTGATGCCATGCGCAACAGGCCTTTTTGCACACACCAGGAGCCACGCTGCTGCGGAACACTATAAGTTTCACGATTAAACTCTGACCGGCACTCAGCGGAGAGACTTTCAGATCGAACCAACTACGCAACTTTCACACTGCTAATAATCTCTTTTTGATCTGAAAGTCTTCGCTTAGCGGCCTCCTCTTTAAAAACCACTCCGCACCCAAGCTGCTCTCTTATTTCTTTGGATCTACCACCCTTAGTCAAACCATCAGCGATCTGATGCCGAGTAGGAACCCAGAGCAACTTAGCTTTACATGATGCGTCACGTGTGGAAAGCATCTGACGAAGAAGCACTGCATGGATAACACTAGACTTGTCGGAGATGTGCTGCCCGTCCTTGTGAACCGTATCATAAATAGACTTACAGTCAGTCACCAAAAACATAGGAACAAGATCATTCCAACCGTCATCATCCACACTACCTATCACCTGTGACCCGAAACGAAGTTCACTCATCAAGACTTGACAGAAGTGTCCCATGCCGAGTGCCATCAGCGCAACGTGTGTTTCTCCAGCGAAGCTCGACTCTATGACACGCTTGTTCGTGCTGCTTCTCCAATCTATGACATTGATGTGATTAGCACGACCCTTGATGTCGCTAGAGCCTTGCTTGACAAAACCGACAACCGCACCTTTCTGGGAGTAAATGAGACGCTTGTCCTTCTGTGAAAGCACGATGTCCTCGCACTC